TATTTTTTACACAATTCTGCAATATAATGAATTATATTTGTTGTTGAGACGGAAGAAAGAAGAATACTCTGTTTGTCTGTTGTATGCCGACAAATGTCAGTTTCAATAGTTCGATATCTTCCCTGTAGTTGACAAGTTTCTGACATGATCATCCATCTCATTACTAATTATCAACTGCAGCTCGAACCAAAAGACTAGCCCGATGCAGAGTTCTTTTGCTTAATTTATTGAACTTCTCATACACACTCACTAACCATGTACCAGTTTGCCGAACAAGCCAAGAAGACCAATTGAAGGGACTATATTGTTGCTGGAAAGTAATAGTGGAGATCATGGCAGGACGATTACTATCTAAGCAGGACAAAAAGAAGGTCGTCATAAAAAATCATTTTTAAGAGATTAAGCGTTTCTTAGAAATTCGAAGAGGATCAATTGTATACATAACTCTATCTAAAAACAAATTTGAAAAATTGGCCTGTAATATTACTAATGCTCTACTCGAAGATCAGAATTATTTTCTTGCAGACACACAATACAATAACATCGATTCCATCATCGACTGGAGACACGAGATATACTCTCTCTAATTGATTGCTAAAAAGACGCCCTCTTAAGAGTTTATTATGCATGCTGATTATAGATGTAGTATTTCTATGTATAAAAATGTTTACTAGAATGGATGGCCCGAAGCATCTCGGTTTTTCCATGATCATAATCATTGAACATTGTCATTTCACTGAATCAAATTAGTATGATATTTATTTGCATTCGAATTAATGAGATTCTATTTATAAATAATCAGCCAATATCATTGAAATCATTTACTCCATGCAGATAAAAAGATATATAATAAATATATTCGCTTTTACCCAATATTGAGAAGAAGAACAATGTAATCTAATAAATAAAATTGTATTTATTCACTCGATATGACTTCTGGATATATTATTAAAAGAATCAATTGTGTACGAATCTACTTGTTTTTTTTCTTACTAATATAAGCAGATGTGTATAATATATTTATATATTTTATATATATATATATATATATATTGCTACAAGTCATAAGAACAAACCAATTTTTTTTCGAAAAAAGTAGTTCATCTTTGATGTTATAAAATCACAATAGTAGTAATTACACATACACCTTTTAAAGACCGAAAAAGATATACTTTAATGTTTTTCCTATATATGCATTATATACAAAATGTTTTACCAGTTTGTTTTTCCCACTGACGACTATCAGCTGTTGGCATACTACATACGCTAAAGAATCGAAATGATTAAGGTAGGAATTTATATATTTAATTCTATTTATTTTATGTTTTTGTTCTGTAACATAATAATAATATGTCGCACATCAAGAAAAGTATCTGTCTATACATACGTACATACAGCTGTATCAAATTGCAGTTGGTGAAGTTAAATATTAATTTCAGTCCAAAATGTTGAAACATTCAAGAGTTATAGATGGCGTAAGATACATAAGGACACTCCCTAGCCAAATTTTTTTTAATAAAACTGTAAGATTCCGATAAGAATCTTATCAGTTTGTTGTATAAGATCGTTTAAGATTTCCCATCGACAGTTGTAGGTGTCTTATAAGAATGTTATAAGATTTTCATAAGAGATTCGTAAGAAATCTATAAGAAATACCAAAAATTCTTATGTTATTCTTATTTACTAGAAGGCAGCTTATGAGTTCGTTTTACTAATTTCTGTTTGGCTGGAAAACTTCATAAGAATTTTTGGTACTTCTTATAAATTTCTTACAAACCTCTTATGAAAATCTTATAAGATTCTTATAAGGCACTTACGACTGTCGTTGGTAAATCTTAAGCAATCTTATATAAGAAACTGATAAGATTTCAATAAGAATCTTGCAAGACACTCGTAAGAGACTTAGACCTTTCTGGTAAGATTCTTATATAAGAATCGATGTCTAGGGCTGCTCAGCGATTCTATCTTTGTAGGTCTCAAGAATAACTACAAAGTTCGACTGTCTTTTAACTTAAACTACTAACTGATGTAAACTATTAGTATTCACATATATTTTTTGAATGACTTTTGATAGAGATTTACCCTTCGATAGAAGAGACTAGAAAACGTCTTTTCATATAAAAATAAATTTGAAAATCTTTTTACAAAAGCGGATCTTTGAAAAACTCATTTGAATTTCAAAGATTTAAAATAGTAATATATTTGTCTTTTTTTATGTCGGAGAATAGTTCAAAGTGTATTCTTAAAAATTGAAACCGTTCGACATTTTCGTATAACATGGCTTTGAACGTAGCATCGAATTTCTTGAGAGACTCGAGACTGATTTGAGATGATCTGTGGAAAACTGACAAAAAAAAATAACTGAAACATAGATTAGCAATCACACTGAGCCTTATGGCAATATTTGTTCTTATTAAACATCTGCTATAGGTGAAACCATTTTCTAGCTTTTTTCATGTATAACTAAAAAATTTCGTCACTAACTCAAAATTGGTTCGAAAAACTTTAATATTTCAGAATATATTCTATTTTCACTGCTTTATGGGATGTCTAAACCTGAAAGTATGCTGAATTCGACAAAAACATCTAAGATTTTCGTCCAGAATTTCCTAGAAAACGTTAGAAGTACACCTAAATTTGTTCCGCACTTTGTGCCATGTCATTGTGTACAGCAGCTGAATTAGAATGTATTCTGAAGTATTAAAGTGTTAAGTGGTTTAAATGAGTTTCAGTTTTGCATGAAAATAGCCTTGTTTCATCAAAAATGAGATTCTAATTGGAAAACTTGAACGGGTTTTTCAAAGATTCGATTTTGTAAAAGGATTTTTCAAATTTATTTTTATATGAAAAGACGTTCTCCAGTCTTTTCTATCGAAGGATAAATCTTTATCAAAAGTCATTCAAAAAAATATACGTGAATACTAATAGTTTATATCAGATAGTATACATCTGGTTTACTAAACTGATCAAAATAGCTTTTTTTAGTAATGAAGTAATAGATATTTTTTATATGAAGAGTTCCTCAACACTTGTATGAATTAGCATTATATAGCACATAAGACGGATGAATAATTCGGTTTTCTATAAAAAATATGCATTCACTTCTCAGTTCTCTATGACAAACACAGATGTGTTTCATTATTTAACGTAAAAATCTTGGAGACAAAAATATCTAATAAATTATTATTGTCAAATAATATTTTTTTTTATTTCTCTACGTTTATTAAAAAACTAAAAAGTGGATCTATAATTTCCCCGAGCGTTGTTAAAATAAAGCTCAAATATTTCTGATGATAAAAAATACAATAGATTTGAGAAATAGTCTATATATAACTAGTCTCATTCTATACTTAAATTAATTATTAATGTTTGGTAATATAATATTTAGTACTTATAGTGAGAAAAAAAGTATTCGATTTATTTTACTATGAGCATACACGCAGCACAGATCATGTATGAGAGTTAGTATTAGTGTATTAAGTGTATTTCACCATGTAATAAAGATATGCTCTGTTTACTAGCTCTATTTTCCTTTCTTTGTTGTTTTCTCAAAGGAACTTTACACAGTCAAATAATTTTTTCTCCTCATCTATTGTCTAAGATAATATATAGTCATATATATAATCTATTTTTCAATTACAATTTGAGTTAAAAAAATTTTTGGGGTGGTTGATACGCTCTATGTATGAAATCACATCAATAGTACAATAACAAAAAAAAAGAAAGAAAATTTTCTTTTTTGTCTTATCCTTTTCCCTGATGAGAATCTAAGTATTTTCTTCTATAATCTCATAATTTATTTATGAAAATAACTATTCAGTTGTCTCTTTTCTCTCTTTTATAAAAAAGAAATATTCATTGTTGCACTGGTTCTATTTTTCATTAGACAATTATTATGATCAAACTAAAATAGATAGGTAGGAAGTTCTAGTAAGGTTGTATACTGTTAATAATCATTTTTTAACTTTCATAACCGTGTAAATAGTTGAATCTATTGAATCTTTTCTCTTAATGTTAAACATCTTTATTATTCCGTTGAGAGCGGCGTTAATCAAATTATAAATCTAAATGAATGTTTCTTTAACTGTACAAAAAAAAAATCATTATCAAAACAAAAATAAAAAATTAATTTATTATTATTCTATCAGTTATGTTAAATAAGAGATCTGTTCTATTTTTTCATATAAAATTCATTAGATTTTTGTTTCAATGATTTATAAATAAGTCTGTTGTCTCTACAATCGTATTTTCATATTGAAAAAAACAAGAAGAACTGTGGTGGTGCTTGAATTGGTTAGTAAAATGATTGAGTTCGACAACTGACATTTTCTAGCACGAATACCTTATCAATTTTACACATGTAAAACAAAGAAAACAAGTCACGATTTCAATTAATATTCATTAGAAACAATGTTACATAAATACCGAATTTATATTGTGTAATTATTTTAAAAAAAATGAACGGTGAAAAATGTCATGATACTCGTGAAAAGCACTCGAAGCGGTTTTCTCTTTTGTAAAATTATTCTGATCTACAATCATTAATTATTTACTTACATCGGCATAAAATGTGTTTGTCGAGATATTATAGGCTATTATTTAGAATACGAGTATTACATTAGCGTTAAATTCTTTAATAAGTTCTGTGTGTTTGTATGTCTCACAAGATAGTACTCTGGAATTTATGTAAAGACAATATTAGTGATGAAAGTAATATAAATGATACATTACTTCAATCTAATCATAAGTTTATTTTTTTGAATATAAAAAAATTCATATAGGAGTCTAAAGATCATTGCATTTATCGAAGAGATAGAAAAATTCAAGTATCATATGAGAATTTTTAAAATTCTGATCAAAAAACATTATTGAAATTAAGTTATTTTTCTTTAACAATCTGTTTTATTTCTTTTTTCTTTTAGTGAATCATTACAAGCCATCCAATACTACCATATATCATTGTTTTCATCATCATTGTTACTCATATTTCATCTATCAAAATGATTAAAATACGTCCTCCATCACAACCTTCTTTCCTAACATCAACTGGTAAACAACATTTAAATGTTTCACATTCATCATCATCATCTTCATCCTCACAATTAATTTCTTCTTATCCAAAATCATCTATTTCAAATAAAATTAATCATCCATTATTATCATCACAATCAAAATCTTCAGTAAAATATGTTCCACAATATCGACAAAGACGTATCACAACACGAACAGTTTCAACCAATCCAACTGACAATGCCACTATATCCCGACCAAAACAATTTCTTGGCTATTTTCGTTGCTGCTGTTATCGATGGTGTTCATGTATTTGCGAATGTTCAATACCACCTAATACAATTCAAAATCAATTTACTAAATATAATCAAAATAGTAGCCGTTCTAGTCTTAGTTCTAGTGTTCGTAGTATCAGTGGTACTCGTCGACATTAGAAATTTGATATCTCGTATTAAATTTAAATTTCTATTATTTCTTAAAATTTTAAATACAATATTAAATTTTTTGATAACCGATCATTATTATCAATTTTTAATTAAAAAAAAGTTAATATTCAAGAAAAAATCCGTTTCATCATCTTTATCACTATCGAGAAGATCATTTTATTTTAATATCCTCTATCCATTAATTCCAATTTATCAATTGTTTGTCTTAACAAAGACAGCATTAGCTAATACTAGTTATTTTTTAACAAATCATACTGTTTTATCATTTACTAGTGATAATTTTACCCTATTGAATAATAATTATTATCAACATCATTTGTGGCACGCTGGCTGTTGTATAAGAAGAAAAGCTGAATATCTCTATCCAATGTGTGATAATATATTTTTCTATAATTATCAAAACGAAACGAGTACGTTTCTATTTGATGGTATAACAGCATTACCATCAAATTTTCGAACTTTTCATAGTTCATCATTGTCAAATAATATGGACATGAGAAAAACATTTCTTTATAATCAAACATTATTTTGTGAACGATATGATATGTTTCGACATTTATTATTGACACAATTAGGTATATTTACCTATGTGGTAGTTATCGTTGGTATTATTCTAAATATATGTGTACTGTTTGTTCTGATATGTGGATCATTAAGACGTTCAACATCTTTTACACTATTTGTAGCCCTAACATGTTTTGATTTATTAAGTTTGGCATCAGTATTATTTGGACATTTATTTCGCAGTATAATGACATATTTAAAAACATCAGCACCATTTTGTAAGTTGACTATGTTTCATTACTTATAGTATCAATTACATAAAAATGAAAAAACCACCGATTCGTTTGAAATATCATTTTCTCTTTTTATTTTAGGTAAAATGTTCGGTATATTTTTCCTTTATTTTCGTCAATGTTCATCAACAACATTGCTCCTTATAGCTATTGAACGTTGTCTCGTAATTAAACATCCTCTTTGTCGTCATACATTCGATAAATTTCGAGTACCGTTTCTATTGTCCATTATGATTATGTATATTATACCTGTGCCATTTGATTTTCTATTTTTTACAAGTGGTAATTTACATTGTGAAGCATTTGATAGTCGAAATGCAGATCGTTATCAATTATTCCGTGGATTTTTTACTGTACTTTCTTATGCTATCGTACCATTTGTCGGAATATCAATTAGTAATCTATTAATTATTATTGAATTAAAAAAATCTAAAGAACGTTTTACAAAGAAGAATGACAATGGAACAATGAGACGTTTTTCATCACAGTAGGAAATCATATTTTATAGTATCTAAACACTGTGATATTTTAGGTTTTTTTATCAGAAACTTAATCTGATTAGATGAGATTAGTTTTATGCTCTCTCCTTATTTAGAAATGCGAATAGTTCTGATAGCAAATTTCTGTAAATTTTGTTTTCTCTTTTTGTATAATTTAGTGTAATGGATACACGTGGCACCACCGTTATGCTTCTCGTTGCTTCATTAGCATTTTTATTACTATTGGGTCCATTTTACATTCATTGGGTTATTACCTATTTGTTTCATTATTATCATCAATGTCAATTTACTCGTAATATTTACGAAAACGTTCAAGTATGTATGGGTGTACTTAATCCATATTTAACTGTTATTGAAAAAGGTATGCGTGAATCAAATCATGCTGTTAATTTTCTACTCTATTGGGCAACAAGTTCTCGTTTTCGTCTCGATTTTAAACGTCTTATTAAACGTCTTATGTACCGTTATTTTGGTTCATGTCTACTATTTTTTGGTAAAAAAGTTTGTTGTTACTGTGTATCACCATCGTGTAGATTAACATTAGAACGACATTTGTCAGATATTCAAGATGATTCATCATACGATTCAAATCGAAAAAATCAAGCAGCTTATAAAACAAGTCATTATCATACAAATTTCGAACGACGACGACAACATCAATTGTTAACATCAACACTACTTAATAACAATAGTGTTAGTACACCGACAAGTACAAAACATCTAGCAAATCTCGAGTCAAAAAGTGTTCGTATTCTCCAATTTAATCCATGGAATGAAAAATTTGAATTAGATACACCGAGAGTATCCGATTGTGGCACAATCTCGAATATCAGTTAATCTATCATCGAATGATGATGATTTAGCAAATATTTAACTGTTTCATTAGTTATTTGGTTTTTTTTCTTCTTCGAAATAAATACTAAGAGTTTATTATTTTATTATTTTTATTTGTAAACAAAAAAGAAAATGATATTTTCCATTTTAATTCTATTTTTTCTTTCTACCACTATCGATGAACTATGATGGAGAAAGTTTTTTTTTTCGACTATATAATCTTGACAGGCGGCTGAAAATGAATACTAAAACACTTCATATTATTAATGAATGTCTACGCATGCCTCTAGTTGTACAAAACTAGACACTTTGTTCATAAAATGTTAAACAATCATTTTGATATAAGCTTTATTCTGTCAGAATACAAGCGGAAAATATTCCATTATAGTATTCTAAACTAAAACTATCGAAAAATACAAAATCAATTTTGTACGAATAAAGATTCGAATATGTGAACTTAGCTTTGTAGTAAACTAAAATACAAAACTAAATTCACTGTTCTGTATCTATATTCTGTACAACGATTGAAGTTGTGTAATTATTAGTAGTCATTTTTTTGGTATGCTTTTTGTGTTTTGTTTCAACAATCACTTTGATCTGTAATTGATCAAATATCTTCTCCACTAAATTATCTAAAACAATTATGACTGTATTTTAATTATTTTTAGCTCTAAATAAGTTTTCTTGATTTTTTTCAGTCAATGTAAGCATTTAAAATTTTATCGTCAGTTATGTACATATACAGGAAGCGACGAACATCCCTTCAAATGAGACAATAAATACAGCTATTGCTATTTACAACTCATAACAGTTACATGTGTTATTCAACACTTAGATGTCTTGATATTGTAGCATTGTAGAGTTTAAGAATGATAATAATGAGTTGTATCACTTAGAAATATGACTAGAAAATAAGACTAGAACACTGTATTATAATCTCACTTGGCGTCCTACCATGTTTTGGTTTGCATCTTATTATCAGATAGAGGTAGACTACAAGAGGTGAAGGACACGATATCGGCAAAGAGAGAATAGAAGCTATTTAACGATAAAAGTCATCAAATTCTGTTGAATGATTTCTATTTTTTTTTCTATAATATAGACGTTCTACTCATTCTGACTACATCTTTCCATTTGTTTTTTGTTCTGACCTTGGTCATTTACATAAAACGATCAAGGTTTTCATATATTTGTTTTTGTTAAAAACAAAACATACTTCTCTTCTTCAATTGAACTGAACACATAGAGTTCGTTTATTTAACCGTTGACCAATGTATTGTCACACAAAGTTATAATAACAAACTTTTGCTATGTAAATTACAAAATACACTGGTACCTCTTCAAAACCTCAACTATTAAATACTTCAATGTTAAATACTTCAGCATTGAAGTATTTAATAGTTGAGGTTTTGAAGAGGTACCAGTGTATTTTGTAATTTACATAGCAAAAG